ACGCATTTATTCTTCTAAAACTACAATAGCCCCCCCCCCAAAAATTCTTTATACCATTTTTCACATTTTCTCGCCAAAAATCACAAATAGTCTCATAGAAACAGCTTTAAAAATGTACCAAAATTTATTATGAAAATTAGGAAGCATGTCACCGAATAATGTCAAAATTTTATCTCTAAGAGTAAGGCTTCATTTAGGACAGATTTTTTTATTGATTTTTAAAGCAATTTTGTAGTACAAAAAATTTAGTTTAAGATTTTGTTCTAAAAATTTGTTTTACAAAACAATAAAAAAAAGTTGTTCCAAACGAAACCTAAATATATTTATAAAAAGCTAAATAGGATCAATCGGTCTTATGGAGATAACTCTCAGAAAGCAAGAGCATGTGAGGTTCTATCAAAAAGATATGATCAGACATCTCACTTTGATCTGTTGGTTGAGTGCTTTGACTATCAGCTAGAAGGTTTCAAATTTGAAGCTTGTATATGTGATATGTGTGAGACTCTGTCTTATTTGACCTAAATGTTAAAAAAAAAATCATAATAAAGACATAAATTATACTCTTTATAAGTCAAAGTGGGGGATAAATTTTAATTTTCAAAATTTCACTCAAAGAACATTTAGTTTTTATGATTTACACAATTTTGAGAGTCTCAATGTTCTTATGTGAAGTACAATTTTGATTATTTTTAATATTTTAAAAACCTTTAAATATTTATTTTGGTTAATATATTATTATTGTTAATGATAATTTTTAAATTATAAACATAGATGTTTGGATGATTTTTTATGATATCAAGTAAAGTTTAATGATTCCTTAATCATTAAAAAATAGACGATATATGTAATTTATTTTACAAAATATGGTATTTTATTTTATTTTATTTGCCGGCTAGAATATTCATAGAGGTAAAGTAGAAAAATCTTTCGTCTTAGTGTTGCACGACTATCCAACTCACAAACAGAGAGAAAAGAAATAACAAAAAAATTTATGTGAAAAATCTTGAATGGAAAACCCACGGGGTCACGCCTAATTGAAATGAATCCACTAGTGTTTGAATAGATTATAAATAATGATCTGCTCTTGAAGTTGAAGACGATCATATTACAATAGTCATCTGTTGAGTTAAAATCTAGCGACGAATAGAGATCAGATGGAAGTCCGACGACGGTCGATGTCCGGGTGTAAACTAGTCACCAATTGGTGGTCGCGTGCTGAAAGTCCAACGACAACTGCTGGTCGGGCGGAAGTCCGACAAAGTCGGTGACTGGGTAGAAGTCTGGCAAAAGTTCGGCGATGGTCGGTGTTCGGGCGATGGTCGAGGAGGATTCTGGTGGCAAGAGAACTCTGATTTCTTTTCCTTAGCTTCCTTGCTTAGTCCCCCCTCAATGAAGAATGAAGGGTATATTTATAGTTTTTTGGGAGTGGTCATTAAATAGGGAGAAGATCAAGGGCATGTCAAGAGTGTTTTGAATAGACGACCAATATCGACTCCCTTAAGCGTGGACCATTTATCAAATATTTAAGTGCCTTAATGATATCACTGGAAGGAGTTTGTGGGAAGTGTTTGCGATGAGAGGAGTTGGCAGGAAGAGAGATTTGAGCACGTGAGGAGAGGAGCGTAGGAATAGATATTTTAACGGGAAGGAGATGGAGCGGACTTCGGGAGACGGAGTGTTATATTTGAGGCTAAAATTGTATTTGGGTCGTATGAATGAAATATTAATGTTTTAGGTGTTAGATATATAATATAGTTGTTATATAGTGGTATATATGTCAATCCCCTTAAAATTAAATAGCATTTTGCTCCTTTCATAAATTTAATTTTATGTTTTATTTATTTGGAATTGATCTTACATATTATGGTGTATTTATAATTAATTTATTATTTGAGTGATTTAATAGCATTTAAAAAAAAATCGTAAGGTACTCGCCTATACTAAAGCGCCATTTGGTATTTTGGTTGGATGAAAAAGCAATCCATAATAAAATATAATACAATGTAAAAATAATATTTATTGAAATATTTTAGAGTTGTTTGAATAAATATAAAATAAGTGAATATATCTTTACCTAATTTGAAGTAAAATAAATATAGTATTAAGATTAACGATTGTAATAGTTTGGTGGTCGGTGATTGTGGTGATCTAGGGAGTGGCAATCGGCTGCCAACATTAGGTCGTCATAGGCGGCGATGATGGGCAACGACCAACAGTAAGCTGTAGGTAGCTGTGGTAACAGAGAGTAAGTGATAACGGTGGCTGGTGGTGGGTGACTACCAATAGTGACGGTGATGACACTAAACAACGGAACCAGGAAGAGCTCGGGGCCCGCTCAGGGCCCACCCTGATATCTTAAAAAAAACATTTTAACTATTTTTTGCTCACTTCAATAATTATAGTTGTACAAATACTAAAAAAATATATTTCTATTTCATATATAAAATTATACATTTCACAATTATATTTTGCGTTGATTCCACCCCTAATGATACTGACTCATGATAACAATAATAAAGAATTTATAGCATATTTGATAATCATTGAATTTCAAGCCATTTAGAATTTTATTTATTGTCGATATTAATATTTTTAAAATTTCTATATTTAAAATATTTTACGCTATTTTACTTCGAATCAAATATCCAAATAGTAACGGGGGCCAATATTTTACTTATTATTATTATTATTATTATTTTCTACGTCATTGACTTGCATTGAGAGTTGTCAATATTATTATTTTCTAAACCGGAACAGGCTGTACAAATCTGATTAATATATCTGCTGAAGGGAACAGATAACAACAGCATTTCTTCGGCTGACTGCAGCAAAATAATTAAATAAAAATAAAATTTTTAAAATTCTATTCGAATATATAATATATATATAATATATATATATATATATATATATATATATATATATATGATTGATTAGATTTCAGGAAAGAATTCATTATATATTTTATCATTATTGCTCATTTTAGCAAAAAAAAATTTGTCTTCTCTACCTGAATGAAATTTGGTCGGGGGACCATTAAGGATCATTATGATCAATTCACATATAAATGTTTTTATGTGTGATATATCACTAAAAAATTATCTTGATCGGGCACGAATATCAAAGCAAAATTAAATTCCAAACTGCAAAAATTAAATCCAAGATCATTTGAGCTCCGATTTCAGCGAACTTACAATCAAACTGACTGTCTCAAAAATACGAACCCAAGGACAGCAAATTCGACTCAATTGAGCTCAAATGAGTCCAAATCAAAGACTCGAAGCACATTTGGAAGGTTCAAATCATGATTTGGATAACCAAATAGTTTCCAAATGTGATGTGCTTATAATCGAATCGAGCGGCTCAACGATACGAATCCAACGAGCCTTTGATCACTAAATTCTAAAATCATTCAAATATTCAAATGTCAAGTAAACGGTCTATGATCAAGGGAATCAACATTGACAGTCCATTCAACACACTCCAAATTTATCCTTGATCTTCCTCTTATTTACTGGTTATGCCACTCTCAGAAAAGTAAAAAACAAGAAGTCATTCTCAAAAAACTAGGAATAGACTCATCATTTCTCATGAGAGGGGACCCAAACAAGAAGAGAGGAAAAAGAACGAAGAGTTTTTTTGCCACCAGACTCCTCCTCGACCACCGTCGGACTTCAGCCCAGCCACCAACTGTCGCCAGACTTCCGCCAGGCTACTGACAGACACTAGACTTTTGCCCGACCACCAACTGACGCCAAATTTCTGGCCAGCCATCAACTGGTGCCTAGATTTCTGCCCGACAATCAACTGGCGCCAGATTTCTGCCACACTACCAACTAACACCAAATTTCTGTCTGGGTACTGACTGACGCCGGATTTCTGGTCGGCCACCAACTGATGTCGGATTTCTGCCCAACCACTGATCGACAATGGACTTACACTCAGTCGCGGACTGACACCGAGCTTCCACTCGACCGCCGACAAATGCCAAACTTCCATCCAGCTTCCAATAATTCGTGGAACTCCACCCGACAACAGGCATTTCGACCTCTGTCGCTATATTACGGTCTTTACAACCTCTGTCACCTGCTGGCTACGATTTTTCTGACTTCCATCGCCAGCCGATTACGATCCTTCTAAGTGCCATCACCCGAATACTATCTTTATGACATTCATCGCCCGCTAACTATAATCCTGCCGACCAAACTAACATATCAATATTGATTCTTCTAATTTCCACCGTATAATGCATTCTATATGATGTATATTTGTTACATCAAGTCAATGCATTCACTCCAAGAAATGCCTCATTTGTAATCAACTACAAATAATAGTGGATTCATTAAAAATTTCAAACTGGGCCAAGCCCCGTGGTTTTCCCTCTTTCAGGGGGTTTTCCACATAAAAAAATATGGTGTCTCTTTATAGTGCAACACCCTTTCGTTTATTTGATTGTGTGTTAGATATTCATACAAAACTAAGACGTTAACTTTATATTTTTCTACCGCCGCAAATATTTTTTGACACAACAATGAGAATATCATAATTTATATTTCATTAAGATAATTTTTATTTTTTAATATAAATATAATTTAAATTTAATTAATTATTTATGTATAATATTTTAACTTAAAATCATTTCAATTTTAAATAAAATAATCAACTCCTAACCTGATTTTTCTGCATATTTGATCCTCTCAACTACAAGGATAAATCAAGTGATGAGTACAATATTAAGACCACTTTATCATAGATTATATTAAATACAAATCATCTTGATCGATTGGTTGGAAGCTAAATTTTAACTACCGACCAAGAAATCTAAGGCTCAAGCATTACATATTGAACTAATTTGTCTTAATTGACCATTAGAAAAGCAACTGATCATATATGTCGACAATTATCATTCAGCCATATTAGAACGACTATCTATTCTAACTATGCAGATCAAAGGCCAAGACAACTGGGATGAAAGAATCATAGGATCTTGATTAGGTTCATTATCATTCTCCCACCATGATAATTTTTATCATATTGATATCTTGGATAAAAAATATTGGTCTCATCAAACTACATTATAAAACTAAGAAAAAGTTCATAAATGAAAATGTTACCTAATGTTAATGATACAATCTCATTCTCCAAAAATTGAATCAATGCCTTGTTAGTTCTAGAGTGGAATGCCAAGAAAACATCCTCACCTTTTTAGGTTCATCAATCTCTTAAACTTGCATAAAATATTTCTCATTCATGATGACTTTGCATAGCCTTCCCAAAATTGGTTCTTTACTTCCTCTTTGAACCTTTAAGGTTAGGATTGTTTGTCAACATGAAATTCTCTATGGCAGCGACCATATCTCATAAATCTTAGGGTCTTCAATCTCTATGCCATCGACAAGCGGCAACATTTTATGTAGTTGATTGTAAAGCTGTCATGTAGAAAACAACTTCGCTACTATGATTGCAGAAAACAACTTTTCATGATAGAAATTTTTGAAAAGTAATGAAAAGGAAGTAAAAAAGAAGCAGTCAAATAAAGTTATGATTGTTGTCTAAAAGGTAAAGTAGCTAGAAAGTTGTCCCAATAAACTTTGACTTTATCCAATCCTTCCAAGGAATGAATTAAGTGTTGTTCAACTTAGGAACATTGAGGTGTGGCATAGTAAAAGTTTCTAATGCTATAGTTGCAATCGGCAATTAGAACAAATTCAGATGCTAAAACACAAGTGAATTACAGAATCTAAGATAGATGAAGCTGAAGTGAGAGACAGAAGTTCAAATAGATCACCATGGCAACCATCAAGCTCTAATATTGAAAAAAAAAAAAGTTAAAATTCGAGTTCTGAAATGAATAGCATAATACAAGCACATGCATGCCATTTGCAACTTGCAAGCCCGGAGGGCAGGCATGCATCCCCCCAGCTGTTATATGCAGCTAATTGTCAAACAAAATGGAAGAAGTTGGTTTGAGCACGCCACTATTTCATCGTTCAATTGCCAATTTAACTGGTTCTAAGCCTTCCCAAATTTTATTCAGAGGTTCAAAAATTCAGTACGACCTGTTGGATCTTTTACCATGGCTGATACACGATTATAAGCTTGTTTAGTCTTTAGTTTGGCCAAAGTAACAGAAGTGGAACACCAGTTTGATTCTTGTGTAAGTGTTGGAAATGTGTGCATTGAAATTTGTGTTTGATTAAATACATATTTTTACAATCCCAATTATAATCAATTTAATAGATTAGATAGATGGTTTGTTTGATAACTTTATACTATTTGGGTAAGGTGTGAATCCAATGATATTACATTTATTAAGCAAATTGACTTCAAGTTTGCATGGAAGGGTTGGATCTTAAAAAGAGGTTTAGCAACCCAACTAATAACTTGAATTAACACCACTAAAGGCTGGACACATGAAAAGCCTCCCTACATATATATAAAATAAAGGGAGCTATATTCGTTAATTCACTGGTTTATATATTACTTTTAAAAAAAATTTAAAAGTGTCGTAATATATATAAGAAAGGGGTTAATAATGCTTATATTCAAGTCATTAAGAATATGTATGCAAGAGTTGTTACTTGTGTTCAAACACAAGGTGGTTTGACCGAGTATTTTCCTATTTCAGTTGGATTAAATCAAGGATCATCCTTAAACCCATATCTTTTTGCTTTAGTCATGGATGTTCTCACTAGACATTTGTCAGAAATTGTACTCTGGGGTATGATTTTTGCTGATGATATTCTCTTATTGATAAGACTAGAGGAGTTGAAGGTAAACTTGAATTATGGAGGTCAATTTTAAAGTCTAAATGCTTTCATTTGATAGATCTAAAACTGAATATATAGAATGTAATTTTAGTAATAATAGATCTAGTTGGGGATTATGATTTTGGGCAATCAAGTCATTAATAAGAGCACACGTTTTAGATATCTTGAGTCTATTGTTCATAGTGATAGCCAAATAGATGGGGATATTATTAGTAGAATTCAAGTTGGATGGTTGAAATGGAGGAATGCATCGGGCTTGTTGTGTGATAGAAAAGTCCCTCTCAAACTTAAGGGAAAATTATATAAGATTGCAATAAGACCTGCAATGCTTTATGGTGCAGAATGTTGGCCATTAAAAGAGAAGCATAATATTAAGTTAAGTGTTGGAGAAATGAGGATGCTCAGGTAGACGAGTGGCTTTACTCTTAGAGACAGGATATGAAATGAGCATATACGTGAAAAGGTTGGAGTTGCTCCAGTGGAAGATAAGATTATAGAGAGTCACCTTAGATGATATGGTCACATAAAACGGCGGCCTTCCGATAACCTGGTTAGGAAAGTAGATCCATTAGATTTGACTTATCTTAAGAAACATAGAGGTAGACCTAAAAAGACTTGGTTAGAAAATATTAGAAATGACATTTCTTTATTAGATTTAGATGAGAATTTGACTCTTAATATGACACAATAGAGAAAAATGATTCATGTAGCTGACCCACATAGTGGGATAAAGACTTGTTATTATTATTGTTGTCTTCTTAATATATTGTTAACAAAAGAGATCACTAGTTACTAGTTAGATGGCTATGATTATGTTATGTTGAGTATATGCATTCAAGAAAATTGCTTCGAAGTCAGCGGTGCCTCTACATTATCTCTTTTTAGAATGCCAGTTAAATAATAGACTTAACTTCCACCTCCTCACATATAGCATGGCCGCACAAGTGCAGTGTTACACACGGGTTGAATTTGACAGTATGGTAAACATTGCTCTTAACTCAACATCTCCTAGGTTTGAAGGTAACAGCTGATTTTCATGTTGAGCGGGAAATGTGGGATCAAACCGTACAGCTTACGTCTATGATCATGACCAGTTATTAGGGAGATGCTAAAACATTAAAAAATGATCTCAAAATATATCTAGCCCAAGTTGATAAAGCCATACAAGTGCTAAAATAAGATAAACAATGGAGATTGAAAGTTGAGATAAGATGAAATCATATATACTCAAATATAAATCTTTAATCACAAATATTTTGGTTATCTATACACTTACGTTTCTGTAAAATAAGGAAGGATATCGATTCAACTCTCCCAAATCGATATTATTACTAGCATGGTGGTCTTGTTTTACTCCAAAGATTAGCATAAACGCATTTAGTATTCCCAAAGTTGACTAAGCAACTAACAGATATTGTAAGTACGTGTAACAGACTTTGTATTAGGAACTCACTCTATCTGTGGATCCACCATGTAGATACCTTTAAATGCTCACTTCGCATTCCTTTTAATCTGAAAGCATAAATAAATGGCATTCTACCGAATTCCAAACTGCTTTTAGGTTCCAGCAATGTCAGTTTCAGTAGCAGTAATGAATAAATATGATACTTCTTGACCTCCAAAAGTGCTGATCTTGGAGCAGGACGTATCAAGTTTCCTGACAATGGTCAACTGAAACTAAGGCTTCGGTTGGGACGGCTTTCTTCCTGCTTCTTAAAGCAGCTTTTTAGTACAAAAATTTTAATTTTTACTAGAAAACCGCTTTAAGAAGCAAGAGGAAAGCCGTCTCAAACGAAGCCTAACAGTGAGTAAAATCAGCTCACCCAAGCATAGAAACTATGCTCACAAAACTCTTGGTCCAATCTGCATCAATGAAAACTTATACATGCAATGGAAGTGTGTCCTTTCCATCAATCAACGAACTTCAGCTGCATATCCAAGTTTCTCAACATACTTACCAAGCCTATTAAGCATCCTGAGAATTCTATCTGCCTGAGGGTGCATTCTGTCTTCCACAGCAAGTTCATGAGCATTATCATTGAGCTCAATACGGCGTGACCCTACCAGCTTGTGCCTGTCAAAATCTTTCATCTTCAACCTAGCCTTAGCCAGGCCATCCCATTTTCCAGCGGCTGCATATATATTAGAAATGATTCCAAAGTTCCCTGCATCTGATGGTTCTAGACTCACCAATTCATCAATGATCTTCTCCGCAATGCCTACATTGTTATGAAACCTGCATGCATTAAGAATACTTCCCCATATTATAGCATTTGGCTCCAAAGGCATCGACTTGGCAAGGTTGTAAGCTTCCATTAGAAGACCTCCTCGTCCAAGTATATCAATAAGGCATCCATAATGCTCAATTCTGGGAACAATCTCATAATCCTTCTGCATGCTGATGAAGTACCTTCGAGCCTGTTTGATGAGCCCTACTTGAGTACAAGCGCAAAGCACTCCAACGAAGGTAAAACTGTCAGGAATGATCCCTTCTTCCTCCATTCTGGCAAACAGCTCCAGTGATTTCTTACCATATCCGTGCATGGCTAGAGCATGAACCATAGAATTCCATGAAACCAAATCCTTGTCTTCCATTCCTTCAAATATGTTCCACGCCTCATCTAAGTCGCCACACTTCGAATACATATCAATCAAAGCATTGCTAATTTGAGTAGTAAACATCAACTTTCTCCTCTTGGCTTTATGATGAATTCTCTTACCTAATCCAAGCAAGTCCGAGTGAGCGCATGCGGTGAGAATGCTAACAGCAGCACCAGAATCAAGTTCCAATCCAGCTTCCTCCATTTGATCCATCAAGCTCGAAGCCTCCTTATCAAGGCCTTTCCCAGCATATCCAGATATCATTATCGTCCACGGAACCACATTCTTAACAGGCATTTTATCAAACAACATCCTTGCCATCTCCATGTCTCCCTTATTGCAATACCCAGAAACCATAGTAGACCAAGAAACCACATTCCTTACAGGCATTCTACTAAACAAATCAAACGCGGCATCCATTTCACCAACCTTCATATAACCATCCAACATACTGTTCCAGCTCACAGTATCCCGTTCAGGCATTTGGTCGAACACCCCTCGTGCATCCGACACATCCCCTGCTCTCACAAGCGCAGCAACCACAGAGTTCCACGAAACCAAATCTCTCACCGGCATCTCATCAAATACTTTACAGGCGGCTTCGCTTTCGCCGGCTTTGGAGTAGGAATCAATAAGCGAATTGGGAACGAATGTATCGGTCAGGAAGCCCAGCTTGATAACATGTGCGTGAATGAGTTCGATGGTATGGACTGAGCCAGAGAAGGATTTGAGGAGGAAAGGATAGGTAAAGGAGTCAGCTTTGACGGAGGAAAGCTGCATGCGAAAGAAGGTGTTGAAGGAGAGGGAGGGGAGGGAGTTTTGGGCGAAGGCGCGGATGAGGGTGTTGAAGAGATGGGAGGTCGGATCGGGAACAAGGTTGAAAACGGCGGCGGCGGAGGACGGGAGGAGGCAAAGGGAGTAAGAAGCGATGAGCTTTGAGGCGATGAAGGGGTTAGTGTGGAGGTGAAGGCGGAAGATTTGAGAATGAATTTGGAGAAGGCGGCGAGTGTCGGAGCATTTGTGAAGGTTGGAGAGATTCTGGTCGAGATGGCGGCTGGAAGAAGCGAATTGGGGTGGGTAGAGGTTGCCGGACATGCCAGCGGTGGCGGAGATGGCCGGCAGGGGGTTCTTCGCTGGGGATTTTCGCTTTTGAGGAACAGAAGAAGAGCAGAGTGGATAAAATTTTGGATTTTCTTTATTATTAATCTATTTCATCAATTTTTCTTGGTGAACCAGACTCGTGAGTTCATATTTCATATTCAAACAAATGTAAGATGCTAGTAAAGGCATTATACTAGCATTTTGACTTATTATAATAAGTCTATTAGTGGTTAAAGTTAGAAGAGCCCTCTAACTTGTGAGTTATGTTTAAGAGATTATTTGTTATTTATTTGATTCTTTGAGAAGGGGAGATCAAAAAGGAAGAAATCAAGCCTAAATCTTAATATTATGTTAGGATTCATAGTTGGTATTGACAATATTCATCGATTTTAATAGTGATGGTGTGCATTGATATTGTTAGTGATAGTAAGTGATGAAGTCAATGGGTGTCGATTATAGCGAGCGGCAACAGTTAAAGAACCGTAGTTGAACACCAATGGCCAAAAGCATCATAGTTTAGTGTCCATGCTCGTATGATTGTAGTAAAGTGATGGTCGTCAGAGGAATATATTCGAGAAAGTGGTCGGAAGACTGTAGTCAGGTGATGATGGTCGTAGGATTATAATTGGGGGACAAAAATTGAAAGATCGTGGTCAGATAATGGTGGTTTGATAATATGTGTCAAGTGGTTTTGTTGATGGGGTTGGTTGAGCAAGCAATGGTCCAATGATAGTCGGTAGTGTTCAAATGTTGGCAATTAGATGGTGGTCCAATACCGGCAATTGGGTAGTTCTGATGGCAGCGTTCAAGTGGTGATTTTGCGGGTGGTCGGGTAGTGTTCCAACAATGGTGGTCATGTAGTGCTTTAACAGTGGTTGTGCGGTGACGATTTGACGATAGTGATCAGACCATAATTCGATTGTGGCAATTAGACAATAGTGTTCAGGCAATGATGGCCTAATGATGGTCTGGCAATGATGCTTCTAAATTATTCGAACCTGTGAGATCTCTTGAATCTCGTGGTTTTAATTCAAATATGATTTGAAAAATTATGTCTAATCAAGTTGATAACTATTAATTTATTTTTTAAATATTATATTAATCTTAAAATAAATCTAATAATTTTAAATCTCCCTACAATTAAAATTGAACATAATATCATAGTTTTTTTAAACATTTAATTCATTAAGTTAAATTCATGTCTATATTATATACTTAAGTTTTTAAAAAAATTTGACCAACGGTTTAAGTCCGCCGGAAAATGATCAATTTCTGCCGGAAACGTAATTGCCGGAAAATCATAAAACCGGCGGAAATTCGGCGGCGACGCAGCGGGAGCGGGGTTCTGGCCGGAAGCCGGGGGCGCCGGCAGCGTGCTAGGGTTGCGGCCGCGGTGTGACTTTTTTTTTTAAAAAAAAAAATTTACCAACGGTTTAAGACCGCCGGAAAATGATCAATTTCTGCCAGAAAACTACCGGAAATGTAACCGCCAGAAAACTGCCGGAAAATCATAAAAACGCTGGAAAATGATCAATTTCCGCCGGAAAAGGCCGCCGGAAATGAGTGATTTTCCTGTAGTGACGCAGCTAAGGTCCTTCGACCTTTTATTACCCAATTATGATATGTAGACTATCTTTGCCCCATTATAATCTATTGATCATCATCATTCAACTATGATCTTTCAGTCGATATGACCTAACTGTGGTCCTTTGGTCGCGTCCCCAAATATGATCTTGAAGCCACCATTTGGCTATTGTTGCTTGACTACGGTCATATAATCATCATCACCTAATTATGGTCCACTAATTTTCATTGTCTGACTAAACTAATGCCCAATGACTTCATTGTCTGCCATCACAAGAAATGTTGATACAAACCACTACCTATAGAGGCAATGCACAATGTCAACACCAATATCAACGCCGACTAGCTAGTTTGATCGCTCGCTATCACCAACAATGTCTATGCACACCATCGTTATGGCTCATGAAGACCAAACCAACCAACTTCATCGCCACCAACATCAATGCACGTTATTGTATATATGGTTGATGCATGCCACCAACACCAACGAATAGTCCTAACATCAACACAAAAAAATATATTAAGCCTCTTAGTCTATGATCTTCTTTATTCAAATAAAAATGATTGAATATACAACAAACAATCTCTTGAAGAAATCTCTAATGCCTCAAGATTTTTACAACTTTCATTATGTAATCAATCATTAATATTTAGTGTATACTATATTGAATCAATGGTTTACCGAATTATAAGGAAGTGCATTATTCGTAATAAATGTGTAGGGGATGTGAAAGTAAATCATGCAATGGAACAAATAAGAAAAAATAAAATAAAGCGGAAAGCAAAGGGCATTAGGATTTAATGTGGAAAAACTTGCAATTGGGAGAAAAAAATCATAGAGCCACACCGCACCAAAAAATCTACTATGAAAATTAGAAGAAATAAATACATATCTCCCATCTCTCTCACTCTCTCATTGCTTCTATATTCTCTTAAATTGCTTTTACACACTAAATAAAAGAAAAAAAAAAACTCTGTATACCACAAATGGAAGCCACCCATGAGAAAAATAAGATAGAAAACTATCTTGTCTATCAATGCTAGTTTGGAGAGCTGCGGTGCTCAAAATTCTACCTTCAATCTGGCGGACAAAACTACAGTTCTCCTCTCTTCGTCTTTTCTCCCAACAAACTCTGCACTCGAACCCAAGCAAGGGGAGGATCCCCGCACCCCCAGCTTGAACGAGAAATTGACTTGAGGTCTAAGGCAACAATACAATCTGATTTATCGACACAATCAGATTCCTCATAGACTAACATAATGATATATGTGGGTGAAATTATTTCAACTTAATCAAGACCCATGATTTTTTCTTTCTCCATATTTTTCACATAAAACTCCAGTGTCTCTTGCAACTCTTCTTTCTTCTATACATATGTTTAATCTTTGTATAAAACTAAGATATCAAATATTCTCTCTACCATTGTGAACTTTATTACATACTTCTAACATCTAGATAATATCCATACTGGATTAACAAAACGAAATTTTATTAATAAAAAATTAATTCAAAAGACAAAAGAGTCAATTTTTTTTATTTATTCAAGATATAAGATTAATGGAGCTAGAAAAATCTTTCAAAAAGGGATTAGAAATAGCAAATCTTCATTGAAAAACAAATCATGATCAATCATACGCATTGTGTGGGCTAAATTTTTTATGGATGATAATATAAAGAGGTATAAACCAACACTAAGTAATTTAACTTAGGAAGCTCAACATAAGAAGATTAGCACAAAAGAATCTCATCACCATTAGCAAATCAATGAAGAGGAGACATAATCCCTAATAACCTTAAAATCAAAAGCTCATACCCCATAGCATAAAAGAATCACCAAGAAAACATTACACACTCTCTCTCTCTCTCTCTCTCTCTCTTCTCTATTTATAAAGTAATGTGTATAATATCTTTTTCAATTAAAAAAGCTTAAAATATAGATACATTTTTTATTTTCTTTATTTAAGTCTTTTAAATATTAGATATAAAAAATAATGTATACAACTAACTACTTATAATTTTTTATCAACTAAAGATGATGCGATTCTTTTTGCAACATTAACCACCTCTAATGGCAATTTCGTAATAACAAGCACACAAAGGCCATACGTAGCTCACGTGCCCGCACTCTCCGCATATAATCCTCCCATGTGATCTCTCACCTCTCCCTCGTCCTGACAGATAAAAGCCAGCAAAGCCAAACCCAACCCCATTCATTCACTCCTGCCCCCTGGTCTTCCCCTCCATGGCAATGCCCCTCCTCCTCCTCTCTGTCTTCCTCTTGTTATCCTCCGCCTCCGCCAACAAGTACAACGTCGGCGACGAAAAGGGCTGGAACCCCGGCGTCAACTACACTCTCTGGGTCAACAAGCACCGCCCCTTCCACGTCGGTGACTGGCTCGGTACGCTCCTTATAACCCCATCTCTAACCCTAACCCTGAGCGACTCTCTCACCCAGATCTGATCAATTTCTTTCCCGATCTTCTTTTTTTAGTGTTCTACTACCAGTCGGGCATGGCGGATATTGTGCAAGTCGACGAAACGGCGTACGACAAGTGCGATGCGTCTCATCCGATCTCTAATTACAGCAAGGGGAGAAGCTATGCCTTCGAACTTAACCAGACTAAGCGGTATTACTTTATTTGTAGCTTTGGGTATTGTTATCAGGGCATGAAGGTTTCTGTTCTGGCGCATCCCCTTCCTCCTCCTTCTCCTCCTCCATCCGCTGATCATTCTGCTGCTCGTCGCACGAGGATTCTTTCCAGTTCTATAGCTGGATTTGCTATGGCTGCCATCCTTCGGTTTCTATTTTGAGCTATTTTGAGTGAGTGATTTCTAGGAATTTTTAATCGATTTATTATTGTTGCTAGGGTTTGGATTTGGTCCGATTTATGAATTTTTCTTTATTTTTCTCTTTGTTCTTGTACTTGCAATTCAAGTGTGCTTTAGATTTGGCAAAATGTCGTGGTTTAATTGTTACTAAAATTTTAAAATTATTAGGCATTGTTCTTTTTTTCCCTCTCCATATCCTCTCCACTTCTCTGTTTCCTGAGCAGTTTAGGGAAACATTGGATGGGAATAGTGAACAAATTTGGTATGTCTTAATTTGCATCTCTGAATCTTGTGGCCGCTGATTTCGCGTGTGGTGACTTGCCGGTTGGTTTTCCGCTTCAGCTACATGAATGGCAAGTGCTTTGGATCTCGAGCCGACATCTTCGCATTCAAAGAGGCGGGAAACTAGAAAGGAAAAAGCAGCCTGTGATTGGAGCTCGCACAGGTCTCCATTTTAAAAGTGATGAATATTAATTAAAAAAATTTATATTTCATCTCCTTTAATTTACTAAAAAAATGAACTTTAAATTAATTGTGACAATCATGAACGCATCAATCAAATTATATTTTTATAAAGTTAGTATTATTACAAAAATGGATTATCTAATTTTTTAATTAGTGTCATAATTAAATCCTTAATTTTTTTATAAATGCGAAAAAATATATTGAGATTTTTATTATGAATTTTAATATTTATGTTATAATCTAATGATAGAGCAATGATAGTTTAATAAATAGATTAAATTTAAATGTTAAATAAGATTTCTTTTGAAGAATTGAGTTCAACTAAAAAATTTATGTTTGAGGTAATTTTTATTTAAAATTTATCAGTTAAATTGAAGCCAAAACTAATATAATTTTTATTTAAAAATAATAAAAGTAGCTTTTTTTTTGGAATGAGATATTCATCTGTTGCCACCCCCAAAAGGGTGTTTGACTGTATGACTAATCCTCAGCTGATCTAGAAGAGGCATTCATCTCAGAAATCCCCTGGCTCGCACTTGATTGAGTTTCACTTAAAAAGTACTATTGATCTGCATGCTTGAATATTTTTTTTTTTTTGAACTGGATATCCACCCGCTGTCACTCTAAAGGGAGTGCTTGACGGTGTAATAAATTTCTTGACGGAACCTAATGAGGTCATCCATCGGCATCCGCTCACACTTGAATATGTGTTATCTGTGTGGAGTATTAGTATGTATTTAATTTACTAAAAAAATTATTAAAAACAAAAGAAGTGAAGCCCACCTGGCGTGTCTCATTATTCGGTGTTCACCAGTACCGTCTGACACATCATTGCCATGTTTGCAGGTGTGGCCAAATTAATAAATGTCGCAAGCCATCCGCCTCAAATTTAGTTGAGAAAATACTATTCTATATCAGGCCTCCTTAGCTATTAAACTACGAAAATTTTTAAAATAATTTTGCAGGTTGATTTTAAACCTCTGCAGAGTAAGATTTTGCAGTTTAATTAGTGCTCTTGTAGGATCGAAATTTATGATCTAACACACGCAAATAAAAAACAAAAATGTAGGAGACATAATAGTTTTTCTGTTTTTGCATCTAAAATTCAAGTACAGGAAAAAGTTGGAGTTCGATTCAGTTAAAATAATCAACAAAACACATGATGGTATATAACGTCACTCTTCTCCACAACTCAAGGACATAGACTTACAAAGTTTGAAATACTTATTTGGTCTCATATAGTTAAAGCAAAGGTTGTGAGAAAAAATAATGGATGAATGAAAATGGCACTGGAATGATGTTAGTCGGGTAATGGCTGTTGAATGATAACAATCATGTAATGACGAGTAGACAACAATTGTTGAAGCCAAGCGGTTAGGTGTGGTGAATGATCAATGATTCTAGACATTCATTTTGACTATCAATTTACTGAAATCAAAATTTCAATAATTATGCAGTTTTAAGTATAAACTTTGTACCGATCAAATGATTTTGAAGGACCACATCAAGTATGAACAAGGGTGGAATCAAGAAGAGATCAGGCTGGACAATTGCATACCCTTTTTTCCTGAAAGATAAACTTTTTCTTATTTTACCCACCTTCAATAAATGCAATTTCTTACATTTTATGATTTTTTTTTTCTATTTCATGCATAAGATTAAGTATTTCACAATCTTATGTGGTTCCCATTCCTTCGGTTGTGAATCCTATTAATGATGTTGTTCTCTTTGAAAATGAGTTACCCTCTCTGGCAGGTGAGTTAGTTCCTATTGATGCTATTGTTAATATTAGCATTGAATCCCCTTTGGTTGAAAATGAATTGTTGGTCCCTGACATGGTCGAGGCAGTGGCTGTTGATTCATCTTAGCATGACTTTAATGTGGCTCAAGGTGTGTTGGTTGTGAATCAAGTGGTTAATGGTGATCAAGTTGATGATGATGTTGTTTCTCCTTTTCTTAACTTGGCTAAGACTCCTAGTGAGGTTGTGTTTAGTAGTGGTGGTGGTTTTGTTTCACCTGTTGTTGGTCCTATGATGGTGGGGTGTAAGCATTTGAGTGGCATTGTTGATGTTGGGGCTTGTGCGTTGGCTTTGTCTCAGGTTGAAGTGGAGGAGGATGGTGAGGTGGAAGTTGTGGTGAAGGGTAACTTGGTTAGTGGCATATATGTTTCGTTGGTGTCTGAGTCGCTTGTTGATGTGCCCATAACCGTCATGTCTCCTGATGGATTATATGCTCATTGTGTGTCTAATTTGGGGGTCACTTGTCACGACCCGACCCGATCCGGGACGGATCCCGCTCGCACCGGGTCGCGACACGGAACGAACAGACTGACCAGGATCTGGTTATGGAATTTGGTTCGAAACTGAATCTTCCAAATAATTTGACTCAAACAGACACACAGACACAGAGCTACTGTGAATCATCAAACACAGCGGAACAAAACATCTATATTTTCTTTTCATCAAAACAATCATCTACAAATAAAGTACATGGCTTTTAGATAGAAAGAAAAGACAGAACAGAAAAGCCATGACTGTACAAAAATCAAAAGTACAAAACAATACCTATACTGATCAGACTCTGAAATCTATTCCTGGACTTCCTCTCTAATCAAAAGATACGCGGTAAAAACTGAACCAATCAAAAGATACGGACGAAAATCACTAACATAAACGAAATCCGGACAGAAAACACCGCCAAACACGACGGTTCTGAAAATTGAGAAAGGCGGAATGTGTCTTACCTTGCGTACAGCAATATCCTGAACAATCTAGTCGGACGAAAACAGCTCCGCGTCGCCCGAAAATCAACTTTTCCAAAAATCTTTTCGACTTGCTCTCTCCTCAAGATATTTTCGTTTTAATTTTGATTTTCTCTCTCTTCAAAATGATTGATTTCAGCTTTATAAGACTCAGATCGGCCCGGCCGATCGCCAGATCGTCCCGGGACGATCAGACCAATTTTGATCGTCCTAGACGGTTCCCAGAACTATTTTTCGGCCGATATTTTGAACAGTGCCAATCGGCCTGGCCGATGCCTCGATCGGCCTGGACGATGCTTACAGAAAATCACCTGGAGCAAATCTGGGCAAATTCTGGAGCAAATTCTCAACTGATCGTCCCAGGACGATCCCAGATCGTCCTGGACGATCCTGGAGAAGATTTTTGATATTACATCACTTGTTCAGGGCATTCAGCTTGGCATGATGGGTATCCATCATCGTTGGGTGATGTGGGTGAGGATTTTGATGTTGAGCAAGATGAATCTTTTGAGGATTTGTACGGTATAGATGTTTGTCAGGTAGCTGAGAAAGTGTTCTCTCGTGGCAGTAAGCATTGTAGGAGGAAATCCAGGAAGTAACTGCTTGGTTGTTTGGGTGTTTTCCTTTAGTTTGGCTGGCAATTTCGATGATGACACATTTGTTTATTGCTGGACATTTGGTGTTGGTTGTAGGAATGGGTTGCTACCCCTTCCTCCTGTTGGTTATGTTTGTCTTTGTAGTTTACATTTTTTGGTTTTGTTCTCCGGTAGATTGTTTGCTCTTGATGAATATTGTTCGTTGGGTTGCTGCTTGTTGGATCGTTGGGTGCTGTCGTTGATGCATATGTAGTTCTTTTGGAGTTGAGAGCTGATTTTATTTTAATTGTTGTTGGCTCGACTTGCTTCCACTTGGTTGTTCCTTTGTTGTGTGATTGAGTATCTCTCATCAGCTTTGTGGTTATGTTGTTTTAGCTTCCTTTGTTTGATTTTGTATTTAGTTTGAATATAAGGCTCATAGGTTTTACTTTAACTATTTTATTTATAGAGGACTTTAGATTCATTAAGGACTTGTAACCTTATTTCTATTAACATGTAAGTCAAATATGAGGGTTTTAGCAAAAAAAAAAAAATCCATAGTACTGTGAATTAGAAAGTCCCTATTTAAAATGAATTTGTCTTAATTAGTCTATATTAAAGAAAAAAAAAGTTCAATAACTATTATTCTTTAAATTATCTTCTAATAAAAAATAATATCAAATCAAATATTTTAAACCGTAATTATATAATATTATATTAAATGTAATATTAAACAATCTTCAAATTTACGTGCAACATGTGCGGTGCATGTGCATGTGCAGGAGATGAGCAATCATCGGCTGTGCAGGCCTGGCAGTTAGTAAAAAATAACATGAATTTTAAAATTCTAAAATTATTTTAAAATAAGTATAATAATTATTAACTAATTAACTAATTAATAATTATAATACGCATAATTTAAAATTAATTCAACGACTTTATACTTTAAGACCAAATTTACTGTGGTCCTCCGTCCTTCCCTTCGCTTATGCACAAGTGGGCTAGAAATAAGGGCTGTTCTTTTGTACCATGTAGTGCATGCAGTAAAAAAAAAAAAAAAAGATAAAAATATCTTAATTTAATTTTAATTATAGTGGAATTAGATTTTGTAGGCATAGTATTATGTTTATTATATTAAGTTTATACTAAATTATGTAATGTTAATTTAGAAATTTAAAATAATAAGAATATTTTATAATTGATATGCCATCGAAATTTATTTTGTTCGAGCATGTATCTTGAAATATATTTGAATTGAAAAAATTTTAAAATTAAAGTTAGGACTGTCCAAACTCCGATTTCATCTAGCTTTTACTTTAAATGAGCTTATTGACATGATGAATCCAACAATACTAGAAGTGTCTTATTCCGAGCCATAATGAGCCTAAATCA